TGGCCGGTGCAACTTGGTGTCACTCCGGCTCCTATTATTCACTGGGGAGGGGGGGGGTGATTTTCATGATGTATTTATTAATTCATTTATTCTTATCGACATTTTAAAAAATATCATTGCAACGCACACATACACACACAGATACAGATAGACAAAGAAAAGAGAGAAAAAGAAAAAAAAAGAGACCCATCAAACACAAAAGATAAAAGAAAGAAAGAAACCCCCCCACAATAAACACAAATTAAACACAAAACAAGAAGAACAAACAAAGCCGCTGGATAGGATTCGAACAAGCAGACTAGAAGAACGGCCGAGTTGCTCCCCGAACGAGACAATTAAACAATAACAAAGACTTCGTTGCAGGAGCTGCCCTCGGCCCCATTGCGTGCATATCTCGTTGCAACATGTCTTAGGGGACTCCGGGTGTGATGGGCTGGTTTATCGAGGTGGTCTTTGGTGGTGGAATTAATGCGTCTGATGGAGGGTTGCAATTAGGGATGTGATGGGTGGGAATAGGATTGGTATTGTTGGTATAGTTATCATTGGTAGTATTTGCTATCATCATTATCCTTATGATTTGTATTATTATTGTTGTTATTACCATTATTATTATTAACATCATTATTATTAGTGTTATTATTACTATTATCATTATCATCAATATAATTATCATTGTCATTAATATTTCAATTTTCATTTTCATCCTTATCATTATCATTATAGTAATAATAATAATAATGATGATGATGCTAATAATAATAATAATATTAATAATAATAATAATAATAATAATAATAATAATAATAATAATAATAATAATAATAATAATAATGATAACAACAACAACAATGATAATGCTAATAATGATAATGAATATGATAATAAGGATAATGATAATAATGATAATAATAATAACAATAATGATAGTAATTCTAACGATAATAATAATAATCATTGCCATCATTATTACAATCATAACTAAAAATTATAGTTATTATTATTATCATCATTACTGTTATCTTTACTACAACAACTAATGGGACTATTATTATGATTATCATTATATTTTGTTATTGATATTATCATCATTATCATGAATATCATTAGTAGCATTAATGTTACTATTATTATTATCTTCTCATTATTGTTGTTATTATCAATGCTGTTGTTATTATAATTATTCCTTATCATTATTATTGTTATCATCATTATCATTATTATTGTAACTGCCTTTATCATCTTCATGATCATCATGATTATTTTTAACTTTGATATCATTATAGCGTTATACTTAGTCTCGTATCATTCAAATTTCTGTTATCTTTATCACTGTCACGCTCACTGTAGTAAAATGACTATGATAACATCAGTCCCCCACAATCTGTTTTCATTAAAAGTAATACTACAATTATTATTTATATCTAAAGATGGTGTAAATATTATTCATAATAACCTACAGTAATATAAAAACCTTGTTCCTGTTTTGTTTTATTGTTTTGAACCTTTTTCTTCTCCTCTTTTGACCCTTCGTGTAATATCTTTCTCTGTTTTTTTCCTATTGTGTTTTTCCTATAATTCCTTCCTTCAGTTTTACCATCTATTGTTTTCCTATAATTTCTTGTTTCAGTTCTTCCTTTCAAACTCTGAAACTCTCTTTTTAATAACTACTTTCTCTCTCTCTCTCCTGTAATCTTTGTCACTCTTCTTTCTGTTTGCTTGTCATTCTATCAATCTTTCTCTCAAATTTCCTTTAACTTTCTATCTCTCTTTTGGTATTGTAATATTCTGGTTTTCACTCTCCTTTCGCACTGTCACTCATCTGCCTGTCTATCGCCCCATCTCTCTCGCTAATCTCCTCTGCCCTCGATTTACTCCCACTTTCTACGTGTATCTCCTTATCTCTTTCTTTTGCCCTTAATTTCTCCCTCTGTCTCTCACGTCTACGTTTCTCTCCTTATCTCCCTCTCTCACCCCTTTTAGTGTCTTCTTTTACCTCCTCTAATTCTCCCTCTCCTCTCTACGTCTATCTCTGTTTCTTTCTCAACCCTGCTCTCATTTTACTTATACTAACTATTGCTTTCTCTTTTATTTCCTTATCACTCCCTCTCCCCTTTCTTTTCGTCCGCGGCCCGTAACCCCTTATTTATCCTTGGTCTTAAAAAAAAGCAAAAGCAACTGCGGAAATTTCGTTTTTTTGATTGATTGTAAATGTGTGGTAAAGACCTGGCGGCGTTCTTGTAATTCATCTGGCACCCTGGGAGCGAATGATGACGTGTTCGTGACGTCTCGAAATGACGTCATTGGCGGGGATCTCCCACGCCGCAAGGGACTGATGAGTTATGGAAGACTTTCAAAATCTATCGAGTATGAAATTATTTAGTTCCGCTGATATGTAACTTGTTTTCTTAGTAAATATTATTGCATATATACATTTGGCAAACCGTTGGACATGAGTATACGAATAAAGTGTCATAAATAAAGGATGCTTGACAAATGTTTATCAACGTACTTAAACCATCTGAATAAGCAAAACATTTAATTTGAACGCTCCA